ATGTGAGCGAGTGTGTGATGGCGCTCGGCCTTTGTAATAACCCTCGCGGTCATTAATGGTGTCGATAATGGCCTTGTTAATGGGGGGTCAAGTATAGTAGTGTCAATATTGTGGGGGGGGGGGGGGTTAGTAATGGCGTCTGTAATGGAAATAATGATTAATGTATTTGGTTTACCACTGGTCAATAATTTACCACTGGTCAATAATTTACCACTGGTCAATAATTTACCACTGGTCAATAATTTACCACTGGTCAATAATTTACCACTGGTCAATAATTTACCACTGGTCAATAATTTACCACTGGTCAATAATTTACCACTGGTCAATAATTTACCACTGGTCAATAATTTACCACTGCTTAGTTACTAAGGTCAATATATACTGCGATCTGAAGTGTTCTCAAGTTAAAACAAAAAATTGAGACGTAACTCACAACTGAATACATTCAAACTTTTAGTCAGTAAATGCTTAATCTAACTTTTAATCAATAAAGCAATTAAATGCTTTATTGATTAAATGCTTTATTGATTAAATGCTTTATTGATTAAATGCTTTATTGATTAAATGCTTTATTGATTAAATGCTTTATTGATTAAATGCTTTATTGATTAAATGCTTTATTGATTAAATGCTTTATTGATTAAATGCCTTGATCAATACATGAAAGAAATCAATATTTAAATATTGATTTAAATCAATAAACGCACATGAAAATGTGTCAATTGAAATTGAAATTGAAATTGAAATAAGTTTATTGAGGTAAAATACACACAAAGGGATGAGGTTGCTCAAGCTATTCTCACCCCGTTCAGTACAACGTGTTAATACATACATAGACACACATCACAAACAATAAACATATTACCAAACATTCTGAGAGATAAACATATACATTTCCTCCTTCACAAGTAGTATGTTATCAGACGTACACACAAATACTTTTATGACCAATGTTCTATATTCAAAACGTGCTTCTCTGATGGCTTCAGGCGTCCTCATCAACAAAGACTATATACTTATTAACCCAACTGCTAAACCCCAGTTTTTAGGAATATTTTAAAACACTTCTCAGCAGCCCGATCTCTGGTTAAGTTCATCTACAGTCAGCAGATGAACCCTAAAACCACATGTTACCGGCCGGCCGAGCGGACAGCACACTGGACTTGTGATCCTATGGTCCTGGGTTCGATCCCAGGCGCCGGCGAGAAACAATGGGCAGAGTTTCTTTCACCCTATGCCCCCTGTTACCTAGCAGTAAAATAGGTACCTGGGTGTTGGTCAGCTGTCACGGGCTGCTTCCTGGGGGTGGAGGCCTGGTCGAAGACCGGGCCGCGGGGACACTAAAGCCCCGAAATCATATCAAGATAACCTCAAAAAGATTGCATCTATTTAACATGTTGATCATTCAAAATATAAATTAATTGTTAATTGTTAATTATGCCAGAATATTATAGCACATTGGGACGTATGTTAGGCTAGGTTGGGCGTCTAAGCAGTGAGTGATAGGGGAAATGAGAAAGAAGAGTGGAGCAAGAGAGGGAGAGAGGAGAGAACTAAAGGAATGAAGTAAAGAGGAAGAATACGAATGGAAGAGGAAGTAAAGAGGAAAGAACTACAGGTGGACAAAAACAGTTGAAGGAGAAGGGATGGATACATTGCCTCCATCCATATAGAAAGTTTATACACACAAAAAATGGAATTCTTTCCAACCTGTTATCTGTTAGTGATGATAACATGGAGATCGTACTCAACACAGGAGAGTGCTCTTCACTCTATCTTGCATTCACTCTATCTTGCACTCTATTGTAAGTGCTTCGTCAGGCAAGCATTGTTCAAGCAATGCTTGAACGTAATTAGTTATCGGTCGAGTGTATTGCTGGTTCATAATGTCACGCCGGTTCATAAGTCACGCCGGTTCATAATGTCACGCCGGTTCATTAGTCACACATTATAATCATGTCTGAACCTTTCGAGTATATACCTTCATCCTTCCATTTCTTCATTTTATCTCAATTCTCACTTCCTTCCCTCACTTGCCCTACTTCCCTTCCTTTTCTCCGTCAACCCTTCAATACTTGAGTTTCTTCATTCACCTTTCCCTTGTTTCCTCTCTTCTCCCTTTCCTACCCCCTCTCTCCCACCCTTCTCTCCCTTCCAATTCTCACCTTGCCCGACGCTTCTCATCGCTATTTTCTCTCCCCATTGGCGCTGAGGGCGGCTGTGAGTTTGGCGGGGTTTACGGTCACTGCCGCGCCTGCCTCCTGCTGCCTCGCGGGCGGTGTCTTCTCCCGGCTGGTAATGGCCTGCTTCCGCCCCCAGCGTGTGCTTGATAGCCGCGTAAACAGGACTTGGAGCAAGCACTCCCTTACCTACTGCGCCAACCTTCACGTGTTAGTCGTTAAATCTCTACCTAACGCTTGACTGCTCGCTTAAGGTGACTGGGAAGATTTATTGAGCGCGGTGCATGTGCTTGTATAGGCTCGGGCAAACCTCCTTCTCCTCCTCCTCTCTTGACGGCAACTTATTGGCTGAACGCTAAATGATTCGTTTCGTTGAAGCTCTTGACGGCATCTCTTAGCGTCGGGCCAATACAGTTGTTCAATTGACTTCTTAGAGTTAATTTTTCAACTCTGAGAAATGTGCACTGATGTCTTTACTGTGATGGGCTTCAAGTTCCTCAACCAGTACATGTATTAAACTTATCTGCAGTTTGGAGGGTCCAGTTGTTACCCACAATCCACTTTTTACGCGATGCCCGCCCACAGTCAGGTGTGGGTAGTGATGCTGCCCACAGCCAGGTGTGGGTAGTGATGCTGCCCACAGCCAGGTGTGGGTACTGATGCTGCCCACAGCCAGGTGTGGGTACTGATGCTGCCCACAGTCAGGTGTGGGTAGTGATGGCCACCCACAGCCAGGTGTGGGTAGTGATGCCCGCCCACAGCCAGGTGTGGGTAGTGATGCTGCCCACAGTCAGGTGTGGGTACTGATGCTACCCACAGCCAGGTGTGGGTACTGATGCCAACCCACAGTCAGGTGTGGGTAGTGATGCCCACCCACAGCCAGGTGTGGGTAGTGATGCTGCCCACAGTCAGGTGTGGGTGGTGATGCCCGCCCACAGTCAGGTGTGGGTACTGATGCTCGCCCACAGCCAGGTGTGGGTAGTGATGCTGCCCACAGCCAGGGGGCAGCATCGACGGGGCAACGCTGCTTCTCTCAGGGAAACGCAGACACCCATCAGATACAGAGGTCTGGCATATTGCAACACCTTTGTTCCCAATGGCTCGGAAACCGTTGATTCGTCGGGCAAATATAACACTGAAGTTCCTGAAGGAACTGGGCGACAAACTAATTGGCGTCACAAAAGACCAAAGAGCGACGAGTCTCTTGTTCCAGCGTCTCACTGTTGTGGTTCAAAGGGGAAATGCCCGCTGCATCTTGGCCACTCGTCCAATCACGTAGGAGTTAGAGGTGTTTGAAATAGCTGTCAAGTTGGTTTGTTTTTCATTGTGCTTGCAATAAATAAATAAATAAATAAATGTGTATGCGTGCGTGTGTGTGTGTGTGTGTGTGTGTGTGTGTGTGTGTGTGTGTGTGTGTGTGTGTGTGTGTGTGTGTGTGTGTGTGTGTGTGTGTGTGTGTGTGTGTGTGTTGGGGGGGGGGGGGAGGTGAAACGGTTGATGCGGCTCTGACAAACAGGTTTACGGGCCGTGATTTTCCGTGTGAGGGCCGGGAGAATGATGGGATACTGTGGCAACATGTAACCCGAACCCCCACACCTGCATTCCTTTGTACCCCGCTCGGCTGCAAGTGGCCGCGTGCACACACTGTGGGATGGGGGACTACGCGTGCACACACTGTGGGATGGGGGACTACGCGTCCACACACTGTGGGATGGGGGACTACGCGTGCACACACTGTGGGATGGGGGACTACGCGTGCACACACTGTGGGATGGGGGACTACGCGTCCACACACTGTGGGATGGGGGACTACGCGTGCACACACTGTGGGATGGGGGACTACGCGTCCACACACTGTGGGATGGGGGACTACGCGTGCACACACCGTGGGATGGGGGACTACGCGTGCACACACCGTGGGATGGGGGACTACGCGTGCACACACCGTGGGATGGGGGACTATGCAGGCACTCACCGTGGGATGGGGGACTATGCAGACATTCACCGTGGGATTGGGGACTACGCAGACACCCACAGTGGGATGGGGGACTACGCAGACACCCACCGTGGGATGGGGGACTACGCAGACATCCACCGTGGGATGGGGGACTACGCAGACACCCACCGTGGGATGGGGGACTACGCTGGCACCCACCGTGGGATGGGGGACTACGCAGACACCCACCGTGGGATGGGGGACTACACAGACACCCACCGTGGGGATGGGGGACTACGCAGACACCCACCGTGGGGATGGGAATACCTGCAACATTTTGACCCAAGTCCTCCGAGACCATTAACACACATCATAAACATTGGAGGCAAGAACAAACATCACTTAAGCCGCGATAAGACCGGAAGCGCCATTAACAGTAAGAGCGGTAACAGGCGGTGCAAGCGGTGGCGGCGTGGGAGTGTCTGTGTGTGTGTGTGTGTAAAATACTGGAGGTTCGTGACCCAGGTTCGTGCCCCGCCTCGACCCCCAGGATTCCCCACCGCGCCGGGAGTCTCTGAGGGTAATCTCCTGAGCATCTCTAGTGAACAAATAACTCGTGTTAACGTCTCTCCCCACCTTGCTACTCCCCCCTTTCCTTCCTTCCCTACCTCTCCTCCTCCTTCCCTGTTCCTCTCTTTTCCGTTCTTGCCCTCCTAATCCCCTCCTCTCCTCTCCTCTCTCTCCCCCCCTTTCCTCTTCTCCCCTTCCCCCCCCCCCCGCACTAAGCTGGCAAGGCACACCTCGTAAGACATAATTCTCGGACCAACGATGCACGGCAGATAAATCCGGGCAATAGTCACAGTCGTAAAGTGTTGTGGTAGTGGTGGTGCTCAACCTCCCAGTGCTCAACCTGTCAGTGCTCAACCTGCCAGTGCTCAACCTCCCAGTGCTCAACCTCCCAGTGCTCAACCTCCCAGTGCTCAGCCCCCCAGTGCTCAACCTCCCAGTGCTCAACCACCCAGTGCTCAACCTCCCAGTGCTCAACCTCCCAGTGCTCAACCTCCCAGTGCTCAACCTGCCAGTGCTCAACCTCTCAGTGCTCAACCTGTCAGTGCTCAACCTACCAGTGCTCAATCACCCAGTGCTCAACCTGCCAGTGCTCAACCTGTCAGTGCTCAACCTCCCAGTGCTCAACCACCCAGTGCTCAACCTGTCAGTGCTCAACCTGCCAGTGCTCAACCTGTCAGTGCTCAACCTGCCAGTGCTCAACCTCCCAGTGCTCAACCTCCCAGTGCTCAACCACCCAGTGCTCAACCTCTCAGTGCTCAACCTGCCAGTGCTCAACCTGCCAGTGCTCAACCTCCCAGTGCTCAACCTGTCAGTGCTCAACCTGCCAGTGCTCAACCTGCCAGTGCTCAACCTGCCAGTGCTCAACCTGCCAGTGCTCAACCTGCCAGTGCTCAACCTCCCAGTGCTCAACCTGCCAGTGCTCAACCTGCCAGTGCTCAACCACCCAGTGCTCAACCACCCAGTGCTCAACCTGCCAGTGTTCAACCACCCAGTGCTCAACCTGTCAGTGCTCAACCACCCAGTGCTCAACCTGCCAGTGCTCAACCTGCCAGTGCTCAACCTGCCAGTGCTCAACCTGCCAGTGTTCAACCACCCAGTGCTCAACCTGCCAGTGTTCAACCACCCAGTGCTCAACCTGCCAGTGTTCAACCACCCAGTGCTCAACCTGCCAGTGCTCAACCTGCCAGTGCTCAACCTCCCAGTGCTCAACCTGCCAGTGCTCAACCTGCCAGTGCTCAACCTCCCAGTGCTCAACCTCCCAGTGCTCAACCTGCCAGTGCTCAACCTGCCAGTGTTCAACCACCCAGTGCTCAACCTGCCAGTGCTCAACCTCTCAGTGCTCAACCCGCCAGTGCTCAACCCCCCAGTGCTCACTACGGGGAAGTGAGGTCTATATAGCTCCATACGTCCCGCCTATTAGCTTTGATCTACCTGTTCCGTTCTGTTCGACTCTTCTGTCGTTCGAATTCTTTGTGGAATCTGACCTTATGAAGATGTGGATGGAGGTGGCTTCCACTAATTCTTTTTTTTTAAGTGAATTCAACTTGAACTTATATGCGTTTTCTCTTGTCCTGCTTTCTTAATTTTAAAGATTTTGTCATTGCCTATCTTGTCTATTGTCTTCAGTATTTTGAATGTTGTGAACATGTCTTCTGGAGGTGGTTGTTGTCGGGAGGGTGGAGGTACTGGTGGTGGTACTGGAGGTGGTGGAGGTACTTGTGGTGGTGGGGGTACCGGTGGTGGTGGGGGTACCGGTGGTGGTACTGGTGGTGGTGGGGTGGTGGTTTAGGTACTGGTGAGGGACTGGTGCTGGTGGGGGTACTGGTGGAGGTACTGGTGGTGGTGGAGGTACTGGTAGTGGTGGTGGGGGTGGTGGTGGGGGTGGTGGTGGGGGTGGTGGTGGGGGTGGTGGTGGAGGTACTGGTGGTGGTGGTGGTGGTGGTGGTGGTGGTGGTGGTGGTGGGGGTGCTGGTGGAGGTACTGGTGGGGGTGCTGGTGGGGATATTGGGGGATCATGAGGGGGGGGAGGTAGTAGTGATGGTGAGAGCTTGCCACCTCAAGAGAGCACATTATGCAGGATATACCACATGGCTGACACTCCCGGTCCCTGCCATAGTCACATCGCCCTTAAGGGCGCTTCACACCGCACCACCAGAGTGGACCAGCAGACACCAGCTGCAGCAGCGTCAACAGCAGCAGCAGGAGAGGACTAGGCAGCAGTGAAGCGGTGGCCGCAGTGACACATTACCCGGCTTTACCTCCGCCATTAAATCAACCGTAAACAACCCTGAACAAGTATTCCACTTTGATTTAAAACTTCTCAACCACGCGAGGGATTAATGCGGGAATTTTTAAAACCAGAAGTAAAAAGGTGGGGAAAAAATTGTTTACGGGTTGTGAGTTTAGCAGCAAGAGAGCAGCGCATCTGTGCCAGGTGGTGAGGACGACGGGATCACCATAGCCCGTGCTACTTGCAACTTTTTGGTTCGGTGAAGCTGACTCTAAAACAACAAACGGGAGAGTCCATCGTTTGTCAGCAGCGCGGCGACCAGTCTTAAGGCTTCGTCTTGACACGCAAATTCGGTTTCTAACTAATATTATTCTTTTCTTAGGTGTGTCGGAGTGGTAAATATGTGGGGATGGGCGTGCGTGTGTACTCACCTATTTGTGCTTGCGGGGGATGAGCTCTGGCTCTTTGGTCCCGCCTCTCAACTGTCAATCAACTGGTGTACAGGTTCCTGAGCCTATTGGGCTCTATCATATCTACACTTGAAACTGTGTATGGAGTCAGCCTCCACCACATCACTGCCTAATGCATTCCATTTGTCAACCACTCTGACACTAAAAAAGTTCTTTCTAATATCTCTGTGGCTCATTTGGGCACTCAGTTTCCACCTGTGTCCCCTAGTGCGTGTGCCCCTTGTGTTAAATAGCCTGTCTTTGTCTCCCCTATCAATTCTCTTGAGAATCTTGAATGTGGTGATCATGTCCCTCCTAACTCTTCTGTCTTCCAGCGACGTGAGGTTTAATTCCCGTAGTCTCTCCTCGTAGCTCATACCTCTCAGCTCAGGTACTAGTCTGGTGGCAAACCTTTGAACCTTTTCCAGTTTAGACTTATCCTTGACTAGATATGGACTCCATGCTGGGGCTGCATACTCCAGGAATGGCCTGACATATATGAGATACAAAGTTCTGAATGATTCCTTACACAAGTTTCTAAATGCCGTTCTTATGTTGGCCAGCCTGGCATATGCTGCAGATGTTATCCTCTTGATATGGGCTGCAGGGGACAGGTCTGGCGTGATATCAACCCCCAAGTCTTTTTCTTTCTCTGACTCTTTAAGAATTTCATCTCCCAGATGATACTTTGTATCTGACCTTCTGCTCCCTACACCTATCTTCATTACATTACATTTGCTTGGGTTAAACTCTAACAACCATTTGTTCGACCATTCTTTCAACTTGTCTAGGTCTTCTTGAAGCCTCAAACAGTCCTCTTCTGTCTTAATCCTTCTCATAATTTTGGCATCGTCAGGAAACATTGAGACAAATTAGTCTATACCCTTCGGGAGATCATTTACATATATAAGAAACAGGATAGGACCGAGTACAGAGCCCTGTGGGACTCCACTGGTGACTTCACGCCAATCTGAGGTCTCACCCCTCACCGTAACTCTCTGCTTCCTATTGCTCAGGTACTCCCTTATCCACTGGAGCACCTTACCAGCTACCTGCCTGTCTCTCCAGCTTATGTACCAGCCTCTTATGCGGTACTGTGTCAAAGGCTTTCCGACAATCCAAGTGTGTGTGTGTGTGTGTGTGTGTGTGTGTGTGTGTGTGTGTGTGTGTGTGTGTGTGTGTGTGTGTGTGTGTGTGTGTGTGTGTGTGTGTGTGTGTGTGTGTGTGTGCCAACAACAGTCTGGCTGATCTGGTCACTTCCAGCAGAAAACTTGTCAAATTCTCTTTTGTACCTTCAACTGTTCTTCCACCGATATTTCATATATGTGCAAGAGGTTGCAGAGTCATTATTCCCTCAACTTTCATTTTATTAGGCTATTAATCCGCGGTCACATTTATCAAATGCTTTCCCAGAAGCTGTGCATATGACGTCAGCATTTTGGTTGGCTTCTAATGCCTGTAATGTTGTGGTAATGGGTCAGGAAGTTGCAGTAAGTGTCCTTCTTAACACTATCTCAAAAATGTTAATGCGGAATGTTAGTGCAGCTGTTCTGAAATATTTTGGCCTTGCTTTACTACCTCCCTTCTGTGGGGGCGACGATGTCCGCCGACTTTACTGTTTGTGGGATGTCATGTTCTGTGGCCTTTTACGCCATATGATACGAGGACCCGTCTTAATGGTATCTTGTCTTGTACAAACAATGAATTGTATGAATCTGGCTTCAAAACTTAGTGCCTGGCCGTATTGGTTATAGCCTGAGTCAAAGTCTGTGGTGTAATATCCAACATGTGGCATGTGGCAACACCTCCAAAGGATACTTGATCAACCAGGCTGTGACTCATACGTCAGGCTGCGAGCAGCCGCGTCCAACAGCCTGGTTTATCGCTCCAGCAACCAGGAGGCCTGGTCGACGACCAGGCCGCGGGGACGCTAAGCCCCGGAAGCACCTCAAGATAATCTCAAGGTAAGGTGTGTGTGGGCCGAGTTACTGCAAAATATTATCAGATCTACTCTCACTGTGATCACTGCATTACAACTTGAAAATATATAAATAAATAAATAAATAAATTGTAGTCTTGCAGTGACCGGTGCCCTATCGTATCGCCCTCTCTAGGATTCGAACTCGGGCCTCCCCTTCCCTCTCGCTTGGTGGGCGTGTGTGCTAATCACTTCCCGGCGGGCATCTTCAGACGGGTGCTGCCTGCGGTAGTGCGCGCGTCGCTCCCATAAATCACCTTGAAATGGTTGTTGGTTGAGGGGTACAGCGAAGGTCTGGCTGGTGAGGGGCCGCCTTCACCAGACTTGAGACTTGTGAGGGGGGGGAGTGGGTTCTTGGAGGGGGGGAGAAGGAGGAGTAAAGAGGAAGGAGAGGCGTAGGTGAAGCAAAGTTTAGAAGTGGGAAATACAGTGAGAGCCTATGAAAGCAGGCGGGCTGTCCGCCTTGCTGACTGGAGTGGTTGAGTGGCCTGTTTCTCTCCCTCTCCCTCTCTCTCTCTCTCTCTCTCTCCCTCCCTCCCACCCTCCATCCCTCCTTGCCTCCAGCGCCACTCATCTCTCTTACTCGCTCATTCAATATCGAAGTATTTTTTTGTAAAGGTTTATTCATGAAACTTCTCGGGTTGTAGACACCATCGACCAGTCGTGTTTCATTCACTCTGGATATTTAAGTCACGTGTTTGTCAACACCACTGTGTACTGGGGGGGGGGGTACCCGGAGCACCCGCGGGTCTCATCCTCCCTCCCTCCCTCCCCCTCTCTCTCTCTCTCTCTCTCTCTCTCTCTCTCTCTCTCTCTCTCTCTCTCTCTTTGTCTATCTGGGTATGTAATTATGTCTGAGTGTCTCTGTTTGTCTGTCTCACTCACCACGATATCCGATTCGCAGTTTATCGGAGTTAGAGGTGTGGAGGGGAGGGGAGGGGAGGGGAGGGGTGCCCATGGGTGCCCCCCACCTCTCCCCCGTCTTACCAGCCCCCACCCCGATAGCCGGTACCCCCCCCCCCCTTTCCCCCCTTGCTTCAGAGTATGATCATTTGTTTACATTTGGCGTGATGAGCACGATAGGACAAAAACAAATAAATAACTGAGTCGGGTAAATAGAATTGCGAGATTTCGCGGGGGACAACTTTGGCACAGTTTCACATGGCACCCTTTTCCTTGACGTCTAACCCGACCCGCCCATGCTAGGCACGGACCCCACAGCTATTACCGATACAAATTGGGCGAAGCTACCCCTAAACGTCTGACCTCCAACCTTGTTGTGCGAACTGGCAGACTTGTCCTAAGCTAGCCGAGTGTGAGCTGGACGTCCCTGCGAGCTGTACAACACCTTGGTCTTATTGCCCTAGGCTCCGTCAAGATTGGGGACCTGGATCACATCAAAACTTAAATATATTCTATCCAAACTTAAGATATTACAACTTATCACGACACAACTAGACACTAACATGAGTCTTGACTTCATCAGATGACACATTAACCAGCTGTCACCAGTCACCAGCTGTCACCAGTCACCAGCTGTCTCCAGTCACCAGCTGTCACCCTATGACACCACTCACCTGGGTCTCGGTGACGTTGAGGAGCTTGGCCATGTCGGCGCGCTCTGAGGACGACAGATACTTCTTGAGCTCGAACTGCCGCTCAAGCTCGAAGATCTGGCGTCCGGTGAAAGTGGTCCTCGCCTTCTTCTTCTTGCGGTCGTTGGCGCCTGCGGCAGGAGACGCACATTAGCAGCCTGTCGTAAGATGCACGCCATCACATGATGAACCTAACGCATAATTATAATGGAAGGAAATAGGCAGCTTACTGCAAGTAACCTTGAGTTAGGGAGAGCTCATGTAGCTCCTCTATTATGAAGAGATCAACACAAGTCATGTGAGTTAAGATGTGAAGGAGTGAAGCTGAAAGTAGGAGTTGAGTGAATGAGTTTATAGTGTGAGAACGACAAAGTGAGGCTGAGAGTACAAGTGCTGACAGTGTCCACGAGTACAGTGTGTGAGTGTGACTGATCAAGTGTGTTTTGTGTACACATATTAATGAGGCTGTGTATGTTACTGGTTCGGTTGGAGTACATAATGTTCATTGTTTACATTAATGAACATCATGTGTGTATACCTGATGTAGGAGTACCAGCATATGGAAATATCTATCTATCTATCTATCTATCTATCTATCTATCTATCTCTCTATCTCTCTCTCTCTCTCTCTCTCTCTCTCTCTCTCTCTCTCTCTCTCTCTCTCTCTCTCTCTCTCTCTCTCTCTCTCTCTCTCTCTCGGAACACTTACCGTCCGCCTCCCCCGCCGACCCAGGTCCGGGGGAGATCTCGCCGCTCTCCTTCTTCCGCTTAGTGCCAGCCTTCAGGTCCCCGGCGCCACCTGCCGGAGAGAGAGACGCCCTTGAGTGAACAGGAACAAGTGGAAGGAGCCATAGATAATTACGGGGCGGATCCTTCCAGCGTCAGTAATTAAAAAGAACCTGTGAGTGACTTTAGGACCAGACACAGCACTGGAGAGTCCCCCTGGAGAGTCCCACTGGAGAGTCGCACTGGAGAGTCCCACTGGAGAGTCACACTGGAGAGTTACAGTGGTCCTCTGGCACAGCACCAGCGGCGTCTGAGCTGATAGTGAACATAACAACCTCCAACGACTTACAAACCTGCAGGACTCAACAGCACGGGCCGCATATCTAGACTGTGCTTAGAGTACGCAGCACCGGCAAGGAGCCCCAAACAACAACTGGAAAGTCTAAGAGGTTAGCCTAAACACCACTCAGACCTTGAGCAGTGTGAGTGACACCCCGGAAACTGGACACTCAGGCCAGCTACACGCAAGTCAGGACTGTAGTAATACGACACTACACAAGTGGAATGAATTAAGTACTGATTGACTGGTAAAGATTAAGCCACCCACGACGTGGCACGGGCATGAATAGCCCGTAATATTACGTACTTCTTGTTGTTGTTGTTTTAGATTTAGGTACTCAGAACGAAGTGTCCATGTAGCACGGGCTATGGTGAGCCCGTAAAAAATTTACGCTCAATTTAAATTTAAAATTTAAAAGCTCATTATGTCAAGTCTTAGACATTTACCAGACTGGCAGCTGTAAATGGGAGGCCCAGGAGCTAAAGCTTCTGTCTTGTCTGAGTAGCCATCACCGGCCTCACCACCATCACCCCCAACACCATCACTACCACCATCACCCCCAACACCATCACTACCACCATCACCCCCAACACCATCACTACCACCATCACCTCCCCCCCCCATCACCCACACCATCACACAAGGTAAATAATCACTTATACAACCTTGAATTTATAGCAATTTATAGAGTTCTCGTGTTACTAAGGAAGGAGGAGGAAGACCCACCCTAATCCTGCCTCTCCATAAGGGTCACAACCTGGTTGGTTAGGCCACAAGCCCGAACAATGGACTCCCGCCCTTAACTTACCCCTGTATAAGGGCCGCGGCAAGCTTGTTAGGGTCGTAAGCCCGTTAACTGCTCTCCACGCCACTCTCTAATTGTGTTGTTGTTAGTAAATAATTAGCAATTTACCGACTATGATGCGGCGGGTTTGCTCAGAACGGCGATAAACCACTAATGACCTCGTTAGGTTAATACGCTCCGCTAACAGCCCTGGTGCCGGGGCTACCCCCCCCCCCTCCCACATCACCAGCTGATTGAAGTGTTGACGGAGGTGAAGAGGAGGGGGGGGAGGGCAGGGGTACTCACCTAATTGTGCTTGCGGGGGTTGAGCTTTGGCTATTTGGTCCCGCCGGGAGCCGGTCGGCCGAGCGGACAGCACGCTGGAATTGTGATCCTGTGGTCCCGGGTTCGATCCCAGGCGCCGGCGAGAAACAATGGACAGAGTTTCTTTCACCCTATGCCCCTGTTACCTAGCATTAAAATAGGTACCTGGGTGTTAGTCAGCTGTCACAGGCTGCTTCCTGGGGGTGGAGGCCTGGTCGAGGACCGGGCCGCGGGGACACTAAAGCCCCGAAATCATCTCAAGATAACCGCCTCTCGACTGTTAATCAACTGGTGTACAGGTTCTTGGTGTGGTGTGTGTGTACTCACCTAGGTGCGCCTGCAGGGTTGAGTTAGGCTCCTGGCCCCGCCTTCCAAACGTTCTTAGAGTAATCCAATGACTCGTTTCTCTCGCTTTTATCATATTTACATTTAACATTTTGAGTCTGATTAACTTCAACGACTTGTTGAGCAGATCACACACTAGAAAGTGAAGGGACGATCGACTTGAGAATGGTCCAGGACGGACCGACACGTCCGTCGTCCCTTCACCTTCTAGTGTGTGGTCTGGTCAACATACTTCAGCCACGTTATTGTGACTCATCGCCTTCAACGACTGCTGCATCTAACCTGTTCCATTTATTGGCAGCTCTAACATTGAAAAACAGGTCCAGCCCCCCACTCCTGTGCCAGGTAAGTCCACTACGGGCTCGCCATAGCCCGTGCTACTTGGAACTTTTGGTTCCCCAGTAGCTCAATCAACAATAACAACACTGGAAAAGTTCTTCCCGGCGTCTCCGTGACTTATTTGCGTCTCCAGTCTCCATCTACTGACTCCTCGTGCTGCTGTTCTTAGCTGTGAACATCTCTGCTTTGTCTGCTTTGTCAAGTTCCCTTATAGTCCTGTGTTTGTTATCATGTCCCCCGCTCTCTCTCCATTCCTCCAGACTCAACCACTTGGGCTGGACGGTAGAGCGACGGTCTCGCTTCATGCAGGTCGGCGTTCAATCCCCGACCGTCCAAGTGGTTGGGCACCATTCCTTTCCCCCCGTCTCATCCCAAATCCTAATCCTGACCCCCTTCCCAGTGCTATATATAGTCGTAATGGCTAGGCGCTCTCTCCTGATAGTTCCCTTCCTTTCCTCCAGTGTGGTAAAGTCCAGTTCTCTCGGTCTTTCCTTATAGCTCAATCCCCTCAGCTGCGGAACCTCCTTGCATATTTTTGGACGTAAAGCCACTATAGTGCGTACTAGTGGCTTTATTACGGGCTATTCATGCCCGTGCCACCTCTTGGGTGGCTTACTCTTCATCAATCTTTAGTATATAATATGCTTTAGGCATATTATATACTAGCTCTATCTAGAAGTCTAGAAAAAAACTCATTTTATGTAGGTACTTTTGCCTGAATAAATATTATTATGATATTATTATTATACAAGACCTGGGCGGCGGTGACCGAAGGTGGTGTGGTGTGGGGGGGCAAGAGTGCCACAGTAGTCTGGGAGAGGGAGTGCCAGTAGGCGACCTTCCGGCACTATCGCGTGATAGGCACTTTGGCTGGGGCCGTAATGACCTACTATCACTCGGTGCTCCACAAGCGGCCCCCCACACACACTATCAGAGGTGTTATTGTGGAGCCCTGATAAACCTCCCCTCCCCCCCCCCACTACCCTCCCCCACCCCTACCTAATTGTCCTCCCCCCCTCTCTCTCTCTCTCCACCTCTCACTCTCTCAGTACCTCATGCTACCCTTCCTGCACTCAACTCACTCACTCACTCAGTCTCTCTCTCGTAAGACTGTTTTGGTCATAAAATTTAATGTTTGATGTACATGGTCCAGTGCCGTGGTAACCCTTCCAAAACATTTCATCCGTCTCAAATATGCAGATTATGTCCCTGTTCATTGTAAGACATGGGATTTAGGTTCCTATTCATTGTAAGACATGGGATTTAGGTTCCTATTCATTGTAAGACATGGGATTTAGGTTCTTATTCATTGTAAGACATGGGTTTTATGACCCTGTTCGTTGTAAGACATGGAATTTATGTTCCTATTCACTATAAGACATACGAATTAGGTCCCTGTACAATGTAAGATTTAAACCCCAACAACGTTACCCCCTTCATTAACCCCTGCACTGCGCACCTGTTTTTGGCAAAAATTTCATGGTGCAGTTGTTAAGGACATATTTTTGTATCTTTCACACCCTCCGAGGGGGTGGTAGGAGAAGAAAATATTAGTGTTTAGCGAGAATCCACAAGGTCTTCTCTGCATTCTGCATACTGTTTATTTTCTTCTCCGAGGCAATGGGTCTCTATACATGCACCAGAGGTGGTGGTTTCACACCCTCCGCGACCACCAACCTACTTAAAAGACATGCAAACACCTCAGATAGTGTTAAATAATGGACTGACAACATCCATTATAACAAAAAATGCCGTCCTCCAGCTCCGCGAATCTCCTAAAATATACTACGGGCTCACCATAGCCCGTGCTACTTGGAACTTTTTGTTTCAGGTAGTGAATCTTAAACAACAACAACTCCTAAAATACCACCACTGAACTACATCATCAAACTACCACGATGGGGGGCAGACATTCCAGCTGTCAGAAGACTATATGCTTGAAAGAGTCAGCCAAGATGAGACGCCCCACTCCCACAGGGGATGGCCGGATTGTTTCAACCGTAGGTAAGATAATATAGATATATGAATGAGTCTGGCTGGATATAAATAGAAGCTGGCTGGTATTGGGCCATAGGCCTTCTGTAGTGCCCTTTATGATAATATTCTAATGCTAAAGCGTTCCTTTCTACCTTCGGGATATTCAAGTCGCCAAACACCACCGTAGCGTCCTTGGACATAATAGATTTAATTATACAGATGATGTGGTGAAACAGGCAACCACCACTAGTCTTGTTTGTGTAGTATGGCAACATTTACCTCTCATTAATGAGGAGGGGTAACCCTGGTGAGTGTGTGTGTGTACTGAGTGTGTGAGTTCCGTGTGGGCGGGGCAGCTAACTTAGTACACACACCTTCATCAACAGAGTGGATAGGAAACAGGAACTAACTCTCAACCCTATAGGATCATTAGCAGTATAAACACTAGCTCGCATTCTCTTTTATTTTCTCTTATACTGTAGTCCAGTACACCCGCGCCTCTTTACCCGCGGTGCTTCTCCAACACAATGGGGCTGGCATGGCGGTACCTACACACACCGCCTCGTCAAGCTTCTACACACCCACCCCCACCCACTACCATCCCGTCAATCACCTACACACACCGTGTGTAGGCAATCACCACACACACACCGTTAACTACTCAGACACTGAAAAAGTTCTTTCTAACGTCCCTGTGGCTCATTTGGGTACTCGTACCCAATACTCGAACTCGTTGTTCGAGTACCACCCATGTTGAAGATAAACTATTCAACACTGGTGGTACGCGAACAAGGGGACACTGGTGGAAACTGAGTACCCAAAGGAGCCACAGAGACGTTAGAAAGAACTTTTTCAGTGTCAGAGTAGTTAACAAATGGAATGCATTAGGCAGTGATGTGGTGGAGGCTGACTCCATACACAGTTTTAAATGTAGATATGATAGAGCCCAGAAGGCTCAGGAATC